CGCCGCCCCCACGCAGAGGCGCAGACACGCGGGGGCAGCGCTTCCCCTCGGGGAGAGGGGGGGAATGGGAAAGGAGCAACCTGGGGTGCGCGTCAGCCTTCCCCGGGGAATCCCACGGCAGAAACGACGGCCAGCCCAAAAGTTGGCTGCAAGCGTGCAGTGGAGCGAGAGCCTGGGTGTCCCTTCACCCTGCTGGAGCTGGGGACCCCCTCCGAGGCTCCCCCCCGAGGCTCCTCCTCCACCTCGGTGGCACCGGGTGGCTGAACACCCCACCCGTGAGGCAGTGCGGCCGGTGGTCCTTCGCCCCAAAGCATCCCTGGGACGTGATACCAGTGAATCACTTCCACGCTGTGCTGGAGAGCCGTCCCTCGCACAGGCACATGCTCTGACAGACCTGCACATCAAGCAAGCAAGCAAGTCCAATTGCCCTGCCAAAAAAACCCCCACTCTGCCCACAGCACTCCTGTCCTCCATCCCCCTGTCCCGTGTCTGGTCCTGAGAGGAGCTCCCCAGTGTCTGGGATATACCCCAGCCCTGCTGTCTGAGGTTTGTGGGAATTCAGGATCCCGTACCTACAATTTCTTTAGTTCCATCCCACAACTATGCTGCTTTTCCAGCTTGCCGTAATTTGATCGCTCCCTTGTCGCTTTTTGATGTCTCCACCAGAAGCGCGGTTGCTGCACGCACAGACTTTGCTTCTCTTCTGCAGACGGGGATGAGTCACTGTGTACACACTGATTAATGTCAAACTCTGCCTCTCCTTTGAGGTATTAATTTGGGATGAAATTTTCTACTTTGTCTTTGCTGAAACAGACGCTGACCTCTCAGTCACTGCCCTGGCTGGGGTGATGGACAACTAAAACATCAAAAAAGCGATACGCTGATGGGAAGGGAGACTGGGGAGGGGAGCAATTAAATCAGATCTGAAGGAGAGGGGTGAGAGAGTCCCAACCGATAGAAAAGAATCTGTCCATGCTGCAGAAATTTGCTTAAAAGCTGGAAAAGACGCTGTAATTTCATAGCGGTTTAGTGGCGGGGAGACGCTGCTTCAAGTAATCGCAGACCTGACTGCTTGGGGGGGATTATAAATAATCTCGTGTATTAGGACTTGAAGGATCACATAGACTAATCTGTTACTGAGAAGGCCGAATGCAAAGACATTTCTCTTTAGCGTAAGATATGCCGAGGAAAGGGAGACATGCCTTGGAGACGTGCCGGGCTGCTCAGGGGCACCGGGGAGGAAAAAGTCATTTAAACAATTAATTGCAATATAAAATTGCAGAGAGGCGATTCCTAATGAAGAGCCACCTGCAGTGTTTTAGCCTCAGAAATCTCGGCGGCCCCTTTCTGCGGTGACAACCCTGCCCGTCCACCTGCCCGTGGGAGAAGTCCCAGACTGTGGAACCCCTGCAATCCCAGCCCCGTTTGTCCCAGAGGCTCCTCCATTCATAGCGTTACTCTTCTAAAGATGAAGATTTGGCCAGGGTCAGGGACAGGAATAGTTAAAATGCTTCTGGACACTGGAGAGCTTTTACCTACCACTTCCGCATGGGAGGAATTTGAGCCATGATTACTTGAGCCTTTGGTTCAGGGGCTTTGATCCCACTGCTACAGCACTAGCAACAGCTACATGAATACTACTTTTTAGATCATTTTAGCCCAGATTTTACTTAATTTTACCAGAACTTAATAATTGGACAGTGGTTTCCAGCCTCGTCTCCTTGCCACCCTCCGCAGCAATGGCATTAACTGGGAGCTGGACATTTCCAAGCCCGGTTTCAAACAGGTCCCTTGACACCGGATCAAGCCAAATATTCATCTGCAGGCCTGGAGGCCAGGCTTGTCCCCAAAGAAGCCGGGAGGAGGGACAGGAGCTCTGGGACACAGCTGCCACAAGAGGTCCCTGCATGCTCGCTGGAGAGGCAGGCGGAGCAGCCCGCTGGGGGGGCCCTCTTCATTCACACCGTATTTGGAGATATTGCCTTTTTCACCCAGATTTCGAGTTTTCCACCAGTTCCCAAACAGCCTCATTTTCTGCAAGGAGGCAGCTCAGCCTTGGTGACGGGTCGCTGCTGGTGCCTGCTCCCAGAAGTCAGCAAAGACATGCCGGGGTCCATCCTGTAACTGTGGGGACCCCAGTTAATCCCAGAGCAGGGGCTTTACAGCAGCAGCCAGGGGTAAATTGGAGGTGCAGCAGTTTTTTCAATAGCTGGACAGTGGCTTTTTTCTCCCTCTTACAGGTTGGAGTTTCTCTGCAGCACATCTGGGAGAGATCACCCATTTTCCACAAGAAAGAGCTGGCAGTTTATTGATAATCTCTCATATGAATTGTGCCAGATAACCTGTGTCCTCCCCCAGATGCTCCCCACTACTCCTGGACAGGGGTGTGGGGGTGCTTACGCAGCTCTGCCATCCCTCACACGAGAAGGAGCCTGCTCTGCTCTCAAACACCTCACGCCCGGGGCTCACCATAGCCAACAGATGTGGGACCTTCTGACACGGCAAAGTCCTTCTGGCAAAAGTCACACTCCTGTTTTTGGAAAGCCTCGCTCCCTTAATTTGCCTCTCTCCAGCCAGGGAGGCATAAAGCCCATCTGCTCATCTAATTCCAGACCTGGCTCACACCTAAATAATTTGAGGAGTCCAAGATCTCAAAACAAATCAAGCAGCTTGGCTTCCAAACTTTAATTAGCCGTTGTCCTCATCCCTGGCTGAAGTGTGTCACTGCACTATCTGCTAGGCCACAAGAAGTCAGACCATATAGGAAAGCTTTATAGATCCACTTTTTCATTCAGAAAGTCTGTAACTCCACACTTAGGAAAGGATCTACTGTGCGAAATGCACGCTGTGTATGGGAAAGCGCGCCCACGCGCTGCAGAGGTAGCTGTGAAGAGAGCTGAAATCCATGCAAGCTTGAGCATCTGCCCCTTCCAGCCAGAAACACCTTCCTGATGTGGAAGCTGGATATTCTCCAGGTGGAACTGGGGACATACTCACTGTAGCCATAGGAGGAAGGCACATTGGTCTCTGTGAGCATGGTGAGCAGGAGAAGGCTTTCTGCTAGCACTGACAGTGCAGAGAGTTTTTCCACCTTTTTCCCCAGCCCTTAGCTCCATTTTCACATGCACGCAGCTCCAGGATTTAATGCAAGAAATGCCAAAGTGTGCATCACTTAACCACTGGCCTTAGGATTTGATCTTGTCCAGAGGAGGAAATCACCTGGCTTTGCGCTGTAGCCCATCCATTCACGCTGCTCAAGCCTGCAAGTTTGACCTCACCAGGGGAAGACTCTTCCCTTCCCCCCGCCCTGTGGGTGTTCTGCTGCCCAGGGTGGTTACCCTTCCCGAGATCATTCCTTGAATAATACAAAGTGTCCTGGGAGCTTCAGAGCACCGGGATGCTCTGGTGCCAGCTGCCGGCTGCTCCTGGCTGGGGACAGCATGCTGGGTTCTGCAGCCTGGCGTGCA